TCACTCTCAGACAGTGGACTCCTGTCCCGCTATGATGCGCCCACCTCCTAGTGCCCAGGAGGAAGGATCTGATACACACATCAAACTAGACAGGGGCACAGAGGGGCACTGAGGGGCTCCATGCTATCCGTGGCCTGGTTGCTACAATCAGCACAGGGCATGGTGCTACATCAGACTTTCTTGGAGTGCTCCAACAACTGTAGAGACGTACTTAGCTCAGTGGGGAGTTGGTGGAGCCTCCATCGGTGGGCAGTGCTCGGGGTGCCGTGGATCTCTGGAGGGCCGGATAAAGCTCCGGGGGCAACTTGTCCAACTGTGCGGTGTGGGGCAGCAGGTTCTCCAGCAAGCCATGGAGAGGTCATTCCCCAGGAGCTTTGCTGGTGAGTTGGGCAGAGCGGCTCAGGGCAGGCAGGAGGGCATCGAGCTGGGAGTCGGTGATCTCACAGTCCAGGAAGTCCAGGGTCCTGAGGGTGGACGCCACGGTCTCCAGCAGCACTCGGAGGGGCTCGACACAGAGGCTGGTCAGCGGGACGCGGCTCAGGTACAGGTGTTTCAGCTCATGGATGTCAGGCACTGGGACAAGTGCACGACATCCGCTTCTGAGAGGACGCAGTTGGTTATGGACAGAGCCTCCAAGGGGGCGCTCAGGCACCTGAGGACAGATAAGTGTCAGCCATGGGATGGGTGGACCTGGAGGATGATGTCAGGGTGGGAGACAGCTCTCTGATCCCGGCCCCAAAACCCAAGACCCCTCTGACCTCCAAGCACACTAACACCCAGGATGCTGGTCCTGCAGGTCAGCCCCCTGTAGGGTGTGTGATGGTCAAAGGTCCACTTCGTACACTCTCTGAAGCTCCTTTCCTAACCTGCTGAGCAGAGCACCACCTCTTTGGGTGAGGCCTGCCTAGTGGGCGACAGGAATAAAAGACAAACCCAGGCAGGATGGAGCGGCATCAACTGGGGTTACCAGCCGGAAGGGCTCACTCCCATCGCTGGTCACAGAACCATCGGCCACACTTTACAGTCTTCTCTCCAGAATCATGATGTCCCACACGTTAACTGCCCCACTGGGGTGGGGGAGCCAGCCTCAGTCTCCGTCCTCTCACACAGGTGCTGAGTATTTTGAATCGCGTTTCCTGCGGCCCCTCCCTCAATGCCCTCTTCACTTGCCAGCGCCTCAGCCTGAATGCATTTCCTAGTGAAGACTTCACAAGCCCCCCCCCCCACCAGAGCAGACGCTCCCCTCCCCAGCACAGCATCTCCTTCTGCATCCTCCACCCCCCCTTAGCCTGATGTTTCGGGGAGACCTCACTTTACCACTGAGCGCCGAACCAGATCTCCTGTTAGGTTCTGGTGTTCACGCCATGGTAGCAGCACCAGCAACTGCAGGCAGGAGATACCCAAGGCGTTGCCTGTGGTCCTGGCAGTCTTAGTACAGTCCTCGTAAGTACCTCACCAGCTCTGCTTACCTGAGCACCTGATGCAGGTGGCCTTTGAGGAAGGGTACAGAGTCCATGTACAGCTCTCGAAGGCGCTCCAGCTTGCGGACTGAGAGCTGAACTCAACCGCAAGGTTTTCTTTCTGGGGCCGGCGCCGTGTGTAGGTTAATCCTCTGCCTGCAGCATGGGCATCCTGCATGGGCACCGGTGCTAATCCCAGCTGCTCTTCTTCCAATCCAGCTCTCTGCTTGGCCTGGGAAAGCAGTGGAGGATGGCCCAAGGCCTTGGGCCCCTGCACCTGTGTGGGAGACCAGGAAGAAGCTCCTGGCTCCTGGCTTTGGATTTTCGCAGCTCTGGCCATTGCAGCCATTTGGGGAGTGAGCCAGCGGATGGAAGACCTTTCTCTATGTCTCTCCCTCTCACTGTCTGTCACTCTACCTCGCAAATAAAACAAATAAAATCTTTAAAAATTTTTTTAGCTAAAAAAAGATTCTTCTTCTTCGGGGAGGAGGAGGCAGGCACACAGATGTGGGAGAGAAGCGGTGTATAAACGCTTCTCCTTGCCCAGGGAAGGAGCAAACCTGGCCAGAGGGGACCGTTCCCAGGGGCAATGCACCTGCCCCTCCTAGACAGAGCCCAGCTCCACCAGGCCCAGGACCTTCCAGATCCTTCCGATGGGCACTGTGCAAATCTCAGCCTCTTCCAGACCACACGCAGGAAACCTGTCCTCTGCTGCTCCACAGAGACAGGCAGGGAGGAGTCTGTCCAGGTTTACCCTCGAAGCCCAGGTCTACAACCACCTTCAAGGGCGGCGAGCCCTTGTCCTTGGCCCATCCTGCACTGCTTCCCTCGGACTCTTGGCCTTTGCTGAGTAGGAACAGACCGCGCCTGCACACCAGACGTTCTAGAAGTCATGATGGGCATCCCGAAGTCCTGCACTTGAAGCTTCCACCACCTGTGCACTACACAGGGAGGAGTCTCAGAACTTAGACCAAGAGTGACCTGCCCAGCAGAGAGCTGACGTCACATCCTGCACAGCTGTCTCCTTGCCCGCCTTCTGCCCCTTCCCCTGCCCTGTCCCCCTGTTGCCTGGCTGGGACCCCACTTCTACGAGTACCTGGAAGCACCTGGGAGAGCAGGCAGGTAAACGCCAACTGTCGCTCAGCTGTCACAGGAAATCCTGCACAGCCACAGGGTCACCTCCTAGACTCGGCAGTGTTGTCAAGGCCCCGCTGAGCTTCTCCCTGGCTCCAGCAGAGGCCCCTGGCTCACTGTGTGACCCTCCACTCCCCTGACCCATCTCTGCGCTGGATGCTAAGGGCGCTCCTTGCCAGGCTGCCCGGGTCATCCTCACCTGGGAGAAACCTTCTGGATAAGTCAGGGTAAGTCCATCCGAGGCAGTCATTAATGTCAATAAGCAGGGGTCTCCATCAGGGCCCCTCAGGGAGGCAGGCGAGGGGCAGGCCTGCACCAGGCCCTGACGATCTCAGTGTCTCCTAGCGAGGGCCAGGGACAGCAGCCCCTCAGCCTTCCGCAGGTCTGTTCCCCTCTGCTCTGCTCTGCTCTGCTCTGCCAACTCCAGGTCTGCACGGGGAACGGTGCGCACCTGCATCTGCAGGGAAACTACCAGGAGAGAACAGCCGGGAGAGTCACCCTCAGGCGAGCCCGAGCTCCCCACGTTGTCCCGACTCGGAGCCCACTCGGGAGCCCGTCATTGCCCCTCTGTCAGCCGTGGAAGAGGAGTCCTTAGTCCATGCCCATTCCCATCTCAGCTTGGTGACCCAAAGTCCTGTCTCTCCCACTTGGCCCCAGCACGAGCGTGGTAGCCACTGCCCCTCCATTTGCAATGACTGCTCCACAGACTCCGAGTCCCACACCCTGTATGCAAATCCCCAGTCTTGGAGAAAAATTCCTGATCCCCACACGAGGCCCTCGAACAAAGGGACTGGGGGTGCCACGTGGCCCAACAGAGTCTACATTCTCCTCTCCAACAAGTGACACGGCCAGGAAACTTTACGCAGATGCCCCTAAAATGGTGTCGTTTGTTTTCTTCTAGAAAATGTTAATGAGAATCCTGAAAAGCCTCACTAAGCTAATCCTCCACCTTGCGGCGCCAGCACCCCGGGTTCTAGTCCCGGTGGGGGCACTGGATTCTGTCCCGGTTGCCCCTCTTCCAGGCCATCTGTCTGCTGTGGCCAGGGAGTGCAGTGGAGGATGGCCCAAGTCCTTGGGCCCTGCACCCCATGGGAGACCAGGAGAAGCACCTGGCTCCTGCCATCAGATCAGCCCAGTGTGCCAGCTGCAGCGTGCCGGCTGTGGTGGCTATTGGAATGTGAACCAACGGCAAAAAGGAAGACCTTTCTCTCTGTCTCTCTCTCTCTCCCACTATGCACTCTGCCTGTAAAAAAAATTTTTTTAATAAGAAGCTAGAAAAGCCGTACATTACTATCACAGAGCATTAGGAGAGTCCTGAGAACACCCCGGGATGTAGATTCCCACGCACATCCCTTACACGTAGGCACATGCACCACTTCGGGCTACTAGGCGCTACCCACTTGGGTCCACCGGGGTAACTCTATCTTTTCAGACTTACAAAAAGCCAACAATACTATACCTTCAAAACTATTCTTGCCGGTGCTGTGGCACAGTGGGTTAAAAGCCCAGCCTGAAGCACCAGCATCCCACATGGGCATCGGTTCGAGACCCAGCCGCTCCACTTCCGATCCAGCTCTCTGTTATGGCCTGGGAAAGCAGTGGAAGATGGCCCAGGTGTTTAGACCTCTTCACCTGCATGGGAGACCCCGATGAAGCTCCTAGCTCCTGGCTTCAGATTGGCGCAGCTCTGGCCCATGCAGACAATTGGCGAGGGATTCAGTGGATGGAAGAACTTTCTCTCTCTCTCTCTCTCTCTCTCTCTCTCTCTCTCTCTCTCTGCCTCTCCTCTCTCTCTGTAACTCTGACTTTCAAATAATAAATCTTTAAACAGTATATATAGAGAAAAGTAGAAGAGAGAGTGCAAAGGTGAAAGCGAGTTTATTTGCAGCAAAACTCCCTCTTTCAGAAGAGGGGCCCCTGGGCTGAGAACCTGTGGCCCAGCAGGGCTGGTCTCCTTGACATTGCCTCCTTCTCCTGTCCCCTCTTCTGTGACCCCTGTGTGCAGCAGGGGTCCTATTGGGCTGGCTCCCCGCCTTGTCCATGAGCGGGAGGGGTCCATAATGCCCCAGAGGAATGGAATTCCCAGAATTCACCCAAGGTCCCTCCACGCCTTCCAACCCTGCCCCAGGGTTCCTTCCCTCCAGCTCACCCCCACGTGGACCCAGTGGCTAGGGCTGGGCCAGGCCAAGGCCAGGAGCCAGGAGCTGTGTCCAGGTCTCATCCCTCTGAGTGCCAGGGGCACAATCACTTGGCACATCTTCTGCTGCATTCCCAGGCCATCAGCAGGCAGCTGGATGGAAGTGGAGCAGGTGGGATCACCTGGCACCCAGGTGGGATGCCAGTGCCACTAAGCCACAGAAGCGGCCTCAGTCCTGTATGTATTAACTCACTCAACAGCCACAGAAATAAGCCCAGAGACAAGTGCAGAATGGGAGGAATGGTCACAGCGGCCCCATTGTGTGTCGTCCCCCAGAGCTCCTGGGTCCAAGCCTCACTGCTGAGACACCTCAGTCCCGCTTTTCCCTCAGCCACTGGCAAGTTCTGAGGCTGACACTGAGCAACCAGGTGCACCGACCACGGACGTAAGGTCACGCCGAGATTCCCTTTACTTCTGCCACTTCTTTATAGCCAAGCACCCAGGCACAACTCCCTCCCAATCCCACTCTGCACACTCGGGTCCCTCTGTCCAGCTCTAAAGGCCTGGACTCCCAGACAGCTCGTCCTCGTCCAAAGCTCCCCCTGCTGGATCAGTCCTTTTCCTGCTCACTCTCAGACAGTGGATTCCTGTCCCGCTATGATGCGCCCACCTCCTAGTGCCCAGGAGGAAGGATCTGATACACACATCAAACTAGACAGGGGCACAGAGTGGCACTGAGGGGCTCCATGCTATACGTGGCCTGGTTGCTACAATCAGCACAGGCCATGGTGCTACATCAGACTTTCTTGGAGTGCTCCAACAACTGTAGAGTCGTACTTAGCTCAGTGGGGAGTTGGTGGAGCCTCCATCGGTGGGCAGCGCTCGGGGTGCCGTGGATCTCTGGAGGGCCGGATAAAGCTCCGGGGGCAACTTGTCCAACTGTGCGGTGTGGCGCAGCAGGTTCTCCAGCGCAGCCATGGAGAGGTCATTCCCAGGCAGCTGAGCTTGGTGAGCTGGGCAGAGCGGCTCAGGGCAGGCAGGAGGGCATCGAGCTGGGAGTCGGTGATCTCACAGTCCAGGAAGTCCAGGGTCCTGAGGGTGGCTGCCACGTTCTCCAGCAGCACTCGGAGGGGCTCAGGACGGAGGCTGGTCAGTGGGACGCGGCTCAGGTGCAGGTGTTTCAGCACCTGGATGTTCACACACTGAGACAAGTGCACGAGATCCACTTCTGAGAGGATCAGTTGGTTATGGACAGAGCCTCCAAGGGGGCGCTCAGGCACCAGAGGACAGATAAGTGTCAGCCATGGGATGGGTGGACCTGGAGGATGATGTCAGGGTGGGAGACAGCTCTCTGATCCCGGCCCCAAAACCCAAGACCCCTCTGACCTCCAAGCACACTAACACCCAGGATGCTGGTCCTGCAGGTCAGCCCCCTGTAGGGTGTGTGATGGTCAAAGTTCCACTTCGTACACTCTCTGAAGCTCCTTTCCTAACCTGCTGAGCAGAGCACCACCTCTTTGGGGGAGGCCTGCCTAGTGGGCGACAGGAATGAAAGACAAACCCAGGCAGGATGGAGCGGCATCAACTGGGGTTACCGGCCGGAAGGGCTCACTCCCATCGCTGGTCCAGAACCATCGGCCAGAATCATGCATGTCCCACACGTTAACTGCCCCACTGGGGTGCGGGAGCCAGCCACAGGCCCCGTCCTCTCACACAGGTGCTGAGTATTTTGAATCGCGTTTCTTGCGGTCCCTCCCTCAATGCCCTCTTCACTTGCCAGCGCCTCAGCCTGAATGCATTTCCTAGTGAAGACTTCACAAGCCCCCCCACCACCACCAGAGCAGACGCTCCCCTCCCCAGCACAGCATCTCCTTCTGCATCCTCCACCCCCCCTTAGCCTGATGTTTCTGGGAGACCTCACATTACCACTGACCGCCTACCAGATCTCCTGTTAGGTTCTGGTGTTTACGCCATGGTAGCAGCACCAGCAACTGCAGGCAGGAGATACCCAAGGCGTTGCCTGTGGTCCTGGAACTCTCAGTACAGTCCTCATAAGTATGTCACCAGCTCTGCTTACCTGAGCACCTGATGCAGGTGGCCTTTGAGGAAGGGGACAGAGTCCATGTACAGCTCTCGAAGGCGCTCCAGCTTGCGGACTGAGAGCTGAACTCAGCCGCAAGGCTTTCCTTCTGGGGCTGGCGCCGTGTGTAGGTTAATCCTCTGCCTGCAGCCCGGGCATCCTTCCTGGGCACCGGTGCTATTCCCGGCTGCTCCTCTTCCAATCCAGCTCTCTGCTGTAGCCTGGGAAAGCAGTGGAGGATGGCCCAAGGCCTTGGACCCTGCACCTGTGTGGGAGACCAGGAAGAAGCTCCTGGCTCCTGGCTTTGGATGGGCGCAGCTCTGGCCATTGCATCCACTTGAGGAGTGAGCCAGCGGATGGAAGACCTTTCTCTATGTCTCTCCCTCTCACTGTCTGTCACTCTACCTTGCAAATAAAAGAAGTAAAATCTTTAAAAAAAATTTTTTTAATTAAAAAAAAAAGATTTTCCTTCCTTGGGAAGAGGAGGCAGACAGCAGATGTGGGAGAGAAAGCGGTGTATGAACGCTTCTCCTTGCCCAGGGAAGGAGCAAACCTGGCCAGAGGGGACCGTTCCCAGGGGCAATGCACCTGCCCCTCCTAGACAGAACCAGCTCCACCAGGCCCAGGACCTTCCAGATCCTTCCGATGGGCACTGTGCAAATCTCAGCCTCTTCCAGACCACGCGCAGGAAACCTGTCCTCTGCTGCTCCACAGAGACAGGCAGGGAGGAGTCTGTCCAGGTTTACCCTCGAAGCCCAGGTCTACAACCACCTTCAAGAGCAGCGAGCCCTTGTCCTTGGCCCATCCTGCACTGCTTCCCTCGGACTCTTGGCCTTTGCTGAGTAGGAAAGACCGCGCCTGCACACCACACGTTCTAGAAGTCATGATGGGCATCCCGAAGTCCAGCACTTGAAGCTTCCACCACCTGTGCACTACACAGGGAGGAGTCTCAGAACTTAGACCAAGAGTGACCTGCCCAGCAGAGAGCTGACGTCACATCCTGCACAGCTGCCTCCTTGCCCGCCTTCCGCCCCTTCCCCTGCCCTGTCCCCCTATTGCCTGGCTGGGACCCCACTTCTACGAGTACCTGGAAGTACCTGGGAGAGCAGGCAGGTAAACGCCAGCTGTCGCTCAGCTGTCACAGGAAATCCTGCACAGCCACAGGGTCACCTCCTAGACTCGGCAGTGTTGTCAAGGCCCCGCTGAGCTTCTCACTGGCTCCAGCAGAGGCCCCTGGCTCACTGTGTGACCCTCCACTCCCTGATCCATCTCTGTGCTGGACGCTAGGGGCGCTCCTTGCCAGGCTGCCCGGGTCATCCTCACCTGGGAGAAACCTTCTGGGTAAGTCAGGGTAAGTCCATCCCAGGCAGTCATTAATGTCAATAAGCAGGGGTCTCCATCAGGGCCCCTCAGGGAGGCAGGCGAAGGGCAGGCCTGCACCAGGCCCTGACGATCTCAGTGTGTCTCCCAGCGAGGGCCAGGGACAGCAGCCCCTCAGCCTTCCGCAGGTCTGTTCCCCTCTGCTCTGCTCTGCTCTGCCAACTCCAGGTCTGCACGGGGAACGGTGCGCACCTGCATCTGCAGGGAAAACTAACCAGGAGAGAACAGCCGGGAGAGTCATCCTCAGGCCGTGCCCGAGCTCCCCACGTTCTCCCGACTCGGAGCCCACTCGGGAGCCCGTCACTGCCCCTCTGCCAGCCGTGGAAGAGGAGTCCTTAGTCCATGCCCATTCCCATCTCAGCTTGGTGACCCAAAGTCCTGTCTCTCCCACTTGGCCCCAGCACGAGCGTGGTAGCCACTGCCCCTCCATTTGCAGTGACTGCTCCACAGACTCCGAGTCCCACACCCTGTATGCAAATCCCCAGTCTTGGAGAAAAATTCCTGATGCCCTCACAAGGCCCTCAAACAAAGGGACTGGGGGTGCCACGTGTCCCAACAGAGTCTACATTCTCTCCAACAAGTGACACGGCCAGGAAACTTTACGCAGATGCCCCTAAAATGGTGTCGTTTGTTTTCTTCTAGAAAATGTTAATGAGAATCCTGAAAAGCCATCCATTACTATCACAGAGCATTTGGAGAGTCGTGAGAACACCCGGGGATGTGGATTCCCACGCACATCCCTTACACGTAGGCACATGCACCACTTCGGGCTACTAGGCTGTACCCACTTGGGTCCACCGGGGTAACTCTGTCCTTACTGACTTCCAAAAAGCCAACAATACTATACCTTCAAAGCTATCCTTGCCGGTGCTGTGGCACAGTGGGTTAAAAGCCCAGCCTGAAGCGCCAGCATCCCATATGGGAACCGGTTCGGGAGTCCCAGTTGCTCCACTTCCGATCCAGCTCTCTGCTATGTCCTGGGAAAGCAGTGGAAGATGACCCAAGTCCTTGGAGACCCAGAAGAAGCTCCTGGTTCCTGGCTTCAGATTGGCACAGCTCTGGCCCTTGTGGCAAATTGGGGAGTGAATTAGTGAATATGAGACCTCTTTCTCTATCTCTATCTCTCTTTCTCTCCCACTCTCTCTCTCTCTGCCTCTCTCTGTGTAACTATGACTTTCAAATAAATAAATCTTTAAAAAATAAATAAAAAGAAAAGTAGAAGAGAGAGTGCAAAGGTGAAAGCGAGTTTATTTGCAACAAAGCTCCCTCTTTCAGAAGAGGGGCCCATGGGCTGGGAACCTGTGGCCCAGCAGGGCTGGTCTCCTTGACATTGCCTACTTCTCCTTGTCCCCTCTTCTGTGACCCCTGTGTGCAGCAGGGGTCCTATTGGGCCTGGCTCCCCCGCCTTGTCCAAGAGTGAGCGGGAGGGGTCCATGATGCCCCAGAGGAATGGAATTCCCAGAATTCACCCAAGGTCCTTCCACGCCTTCCAACCCTGCCCCAGGGTTCCTTCCCTCCAGCTCACCCCCAAATGACCCAGTGGCTAGGGCTGGCCCAGGCCAAGGCCAAGGCCAGGAGCCAGGAGCCAGGAGCCAGGAGCCGGGAGCTGTGTCCAGGTCTCATCCCTCTGAGTGGCAGGGGCACAAACACTTGGGCCATCCTCTGCTGCTTTCCCATGTACATTAGCAGGGAGCTGGATCAGAAGTGGAACAGCTGGGACTTGAACCAGGGCCCACAGGGGATGCCGACCTTGCAGGTGGGGGCTTAACTGGCCATGCCACAGCACATGGGGCAACGTTCTTTGCATTCTAGTCAAACTGGCTATATTTAAGTGAGAGAAAAATTAGAAGTGCTCTCTTCTCAAACTATCTGGTTGACACTATGGGTAAATGAATGATACAGACACAGAGCTGGTTGAACCCAAGCACGTGGCCTCCCAGAATGAAGTCACAGACACAGCAGAGAAGGGCTCACCTTCGGGACTCCCTGCACTGAGAGGAGAAGGCAGGAGTCAGATGAAACAAAGCAAAACGTCTTCTGACCCACCATCCGTTCCTTTCGTGCACAGGTGGTGATCACAAGGTTGGGAGAACTCAAGGACGTGGCTCCCCAGAAATGTGTGTCCTCCTGGGAGACCTGGGGAAGCTCCTGGCTCCTGGCTTTGGATGGGCACAGCTCTGGCCATTGCAGCCATTTGGGGAGTGAACCAGCGGATGGAGGACCTCTCTCTCTCTCTCTCTCTCTCTCTCTCTCTCTCTGTCTCTATAATCTTTCCTGTAACTCTGACTTTCAAATAAATAAATAAATCTTCAAAAAAAAGAAATGTGTGTCCTGTCTCATTTCCTGGTCTCCTTATACTCCTTGAAGTTCCCTTGACAAGCCTAAGTGCCCCGCATTGTAATCCCCGAATATTCCTGAATAAACTTGACTTTGGTAAAAGACGAAAGATTTATATGCTAAGAGAAACCAGAGTATTAAACTTGACTTTGAAGAGTTGGGCTCTGATGCACATTTGAGGTTGACAGCTCTATGTGTATTTTTTAAACATTTCTTAAAAGATGTATTTCTTTCTTTCTTTCTTTATTTTTTTGAAAGGCAGAGTTTCTGAGAGAGAGACATCTTCTATCCGCAGGTTCACTCCCCAAAGGGCCACAATGGCTGACACTGTTTCCAGGGCAAAGCCAAGAGCTTCTTCTGGGTCTCCCCCATGGGAGCAGGGGCCCAAGCACTTGGCCCCTCTTCGGCTGCTTTCCCAGGCCATTAGCAGGGAGCTGGATGGAAGTGGAGTCTATGGGACTTCACCTGGCATCCACGTGGGATGCCGGTGCCACTAAGCCACAGTTGGGGCCTCAGTCCTGTATGTATTAACTCACTCAACAGCCACAGAAATAGCCCAGAGACAAGTGCAGAATGGGAGGAATGGTCACAGCGGCCCCATTGTGTGTCGTCCCCCAGAGCTCCTGGGTCCAAGCCTCACTGCTGAGACACCTCAGTCCCGCTTTTCCCTCAGCCACTGGCAAGTTATGAGGCTGACACTGAGCAACCAGGTGCACCGACCACGGACGTAAGGTCACGCCGAGATTCCCTTTACTTCTGCCACTTCTTTATAGCCAAGCACCCAGGCACAACTCCCTCCCAATCCCACTCTGCACACTCAGGTCCCTCTGTCCAGCTCTAAAGGCCTGGACTCCAGACAGCTCCTCCTCGTCCAAAGCTCACCCTGCTGGATCAGTCCTTTTCCTGCTCACTCTCAGACAGTGGACTCCTGTCCCGCTATGATGCGCCCACCTCCTAGTGCCCAGGAGGAAGGATCTGATACACACATCAAACTAGACAGGGGCACAGAGTGGCACTGAGGGGCTCAATGCTATACGTGGCCTGGTTGCTACAATCAGCACAGGCCATGGTGCTACATCAGACATTCTTGGAGTGCTCCAACAACTGTAGAGTCGTACTTAGCTCAGTGGGGAGTTGGTGGAGCCTCCATCGGTGGGCAGCGCTCGGGGTGCCGTGGATCTCTGGAGGGCTGGATAAGCTCCGGGGGCAACTTGTCCAACTGTGCGGTGTGGGACAGCAGGTTCTCCAGCCAGCCATGGAGAGGTCATTCCCAGGCAGCTGAGCTTGGGGAGCTGGGCAGAGCGGCTCAGGGCAGGCAGGAGGGCATCGAGCTGGGAGTCGGTGATCTCACAGTCCAGGAAGTCCAGGGTCCTGAGGGTGGACACCACGGTCTCCAGCAGCACTCGGAGGGGCTCGGCACGGAGGCTGGTCAGTGGGACGCGGCTCAGGTGCAGGTGTTTCAGCTCATCGATGTTCGGGCACTGGGACAAGTGCACGAGATCCGCTTCTGAGAGGACGCAGTTGGTTATGGACAGAGCCTCCAAGGGGGCGCTCAGGCACCTGAGGACAGATAAGTGTCACCTCTGGGATGGGTGGTCCTGGAGGATGTTGTCAGGGTGGGAGACAGCTCTCTGTTCCTGGCCCCAAAGCCCAAGACCCCTCTGACCTCCAAGCACACTAACACCCAGGATGCTGGTCCTGCAGGTCAGCCCCCTGTAGGGTGTGTGATGGTCAAAGGTCCACTTCGTACACTCTCTGAAGCTCCTTTCCTAACCTGCTGAGCAGAGCACCACCTCTTTGGGGGAGGCCTGCCTAGTGGGCGACAGGAACAAAAGACAAACCCAGGCAGGATGGGGCGGCATCAACTGGGGTTACCAGCCGGAAGGGCTCACTCCCATCGCTGGTCCAGAGCCATCGGCCACACTTCACAGTCTTCTCTCCAGAATCATGATGTCCCACACGTTCACTGCCCCACTGGGGTGGGGGAGCCAGCCACAGGCCCGTCCTCTCACACAGGTGCTGAGTATTTTGAATCGCGTTTCTTGCGGTCCCTCCCTCAATGCACTCTTCACTTGCCAGCGCCTCAGCCTGAATGCATTTCCTAGTGAAGACTTCACAAGCCCCCCCCCCCCCACCAGAGCAGACACTCCCCTCCCCAGCACAGCATCTCCTTCTGCATCCTCCACCCCCCCTTAGCCTGATGTTTCTGGGAGACCTCACTTTACCACTGAGCGCCTACCAGATCTCCTGTGAGGTTCTGGTGTTTACGCCATGGTAGCAGCACCAGCAACTGCAGGCAGGAGATACCCAAGGCGTTGCCTGTGGTCCTGGCAGTCTTAGTACAGTCCTTGTAAGTACGTCACCAGCTCTCCTTACCTGAGCACCTGATGCAGGTGACCTTTGAGGAAGGGGACAGAGTCCATGTACAGCTCTCGAAGGCGGTCAGGATTGCAGAACTGAGAGGTGAACTCAGCCGCAAGATTTTTCTTCGGTGGCCGTGCCGTGGAGCACTAGGTTAATCTTCTCCCACGGTGCCAGCATTCTATATGAGCAACGGTTCTAGTACCGGCTGCTCCTCTTCCAATCCAGCTCTCTGCTGTGGCCTGGGAAAGCAGAAGATGGCCCAAGGCCTTAGTCCCCTGCACCTGCCTGGGAGACCGGGAGGAAACTCCTGGCTTCAGATCACTGCAGCTCTGGCCATTGCAGCCATTTTGGGAGTGAACCAGCGGATGGAAGACCTTTCTCTATGTCTCTCCCTCTCAATGTCTGTAACACTACATCTCAAATAAAAGAAGTAAAATCTTTAAAAAAAAGTTTTTTAACTTAAAAAAAAAGATTTTACTCTTCTTCGGGGAAGAGGAGGCAGACACTCAAATGTAGGAGAGAAGCGGTGTATGAACGCTTCTCCTTGGCCCAGGGAAGGAGCAAACCTGGCCAGAGGGGACCGTTCCCAGGGGCAATGCACCTGCCCCTCCTAGACAGAGCCCAGCTCCACCAGGCCCAGGACCTTCCAGATCCTTCCGATGGGCACTGTGCAGATCTCAGCCTCTTCCAGACCACGCGCAGGAAACCTGTCCTCTGCTGCTCCACAGAGACAGGCAGGGAGGAGTCTGTCCAGGTTTACCCTCGAAGCCCAGGTCTACAACCACCTTCAAGGGCAGCGAGCCCTTGTCCTTGGCCCATCATGCACTGCTTCCCTCGGACCCTTGGCCTTTGCTGAGTAGGAACAGACCGCGCCTGCACACCAGACGTTCTAGAAGTCATGATGGGCATCCCGAAGTCCTGCACTTGAAGCTTCCACCACCTGTGCACTACACAGGGAGGAGTCTTAGAACTTAGACCAAGAGTGACCTGCCCAGCAGAGAGCTGACGTCACATCCTGCACAGCTGCCTCCTTGCCCGCCTTCCGCCCCTTCCCCTGCCCTGTCCCCCTGTTGCCTGGCTGGGACCCCACTTCTACGAGTACCTGGAAGCACCTGGGAGAGCAGGCAGGTAAACGCCAGCTGTCGCTCAGCTGTCACAGGAAATCCTGCACAGCCACAGGGTCACCTCCTAGACTCGGCAGTGTTGTCAAGGCCCCGCTGAGCTTCTCACTGGCTCCAGCAGAGGCCCCTGGCTCACTGTGTGACCCTCCACTCCCCTGACCCATCTCTTCGCTGGATGCTAGGGGCGCTCCTTGCCAGGCTGCCCGGGTCTCCTCACCTGGGAGAAACCTTCTGGGTAAGTCAGGGTAAGTCCATCCGAGGCAGTCATTAATGTCGATAAGCAGGGTGTCTCCATCAGGGCCCCCGCAGGGAGGCAGGCGAGGGGCAGGCCTGCACCAGGCCCTGACGATCTCAGTGTGTCTCCCAGCGAGGGCCAGGGACAGCAGCCCCTCAGCCTTCCGCAGGTCTGTTCCCCTCTGCTCTGCTCTGCTCTGCTCTGCTCTGCCAACTCCAGGTCTGCACGGGGACCGGTGCTCACCTGCATCTGCAGGGAAACTAACCAGGAGAGAACAGCCGGGAGAGTCATCCTCAGGCGAGCCCGAGCTCCCCACGTTCTCCCGACTTGGAGCCCACTCGGGAGCCCATCATTGCCCCTCTGCCAGCGGTGGAAGAGGAGTGCTTAGTCCATGCCCATTCCCATCTCAGCTTGGTGACCCAAAGTCCTGTCTCTCCCACTTGGCCCCAGCACGAGCGTGGTGGCCACTGCCCCTCCATTTGCAATGACTGCTCCACAGACTCCGAGTCCCAACACCCTGTACACAAATCCCCAGTCTTGGAGAAAGATTTCTGATCCCCACTCAAGTCCTGTGACGAAGGGATTGGGGGTGCCATGTGGCCCAACAGAGTCTATGTTCTCCATTTCAACAAGTGACACGGCCAGGAAACTTTATGCAGATGCCCCTAAAATGGGTGTCAGTTGTTTTCTTCTCAAAATTTTAATGAGAAGCTAGAAAAGTCATACATTAATATCACAGAGCGTCCGGTGCCACGGCTCAATAGGTTAATCCTCTGCCTATTGGCGCCGGCACACCGGGTTCTAGTCCCGGTCAGGTTTCCGGATTCTGTCCCGGTTGCCCCTCTTCCTGTCCAGCTCTCTGCTGTGGCCCAGGAGTGCAGTGGAGGATGGCCCAAGTGCTTGGGCCCTGCACCCCATGGGAGACCAGGAGAAGCACCTAGCTCCTGCTTTCGGATCAGCGCGGTGTGCCAGCTGCAGCACGCCGGCCGCGGCAGCCATTGGAGGGTGAACCAACAGAAAAGGAAGACCTTTCTCTCTGTCTCTATCTCTGAATGTCCACTCTGCCTGTCAAAAAAAAAAAAAAATCACAGAGCATTAGGAGAGTCCTGAGAACACCCGGGGATGTAGATTCCCACACACATCCCTTACACGTAGGCACATGCACCACTTCGGGCTACTAGGCTGTACCGACCTGGAATCTACCGGGGTAACTCTATCTTTACAGACTTACAAAAAGCCAACAATACTATACCTTCAAAACTATTCTTGCCGGCGCTGTGGCACAGTGGGTTAAAATCCCAGCCTGAAGCACCAGCATCCCATATGGGCATCGGTTCGAGACCCAGCCGCTCCACTTCCGATCCAGCTCTCTGTTATGGCCTGGGAAAGCAGTGGAAGATGGCCCAGGTGTTTGGACCTCTTCACCTGCATGGGAGACCCCGATGAAGCTCCTAGCTCCTGGCTTCAGATTGGCGCAGCTCTGGCCCATGCAGACAACTGGGGAGGGATTCAGTGGATGGAAGAACTTTCTCTCTCTCTCTCTCTCTCTCTCTCTCTCTCTGCCTCTCCTCTCTCTCTGTAACTCTGACTTTCAAATAATAAATCTTTAAACAGTATATAAAGAGAAAAGTAGAAGAGAGAGTGCAAAGGTGAAAGCGAGTTTATTTGCAACAAAACTCCCTCTTTCAGAAGAGGGGCCCCTGGGCTGGGAACCTGTGGCCCAGCAGGGCTGGTCTCCTTGACATTGCCTCCTTCTCCTTGTCCCCTCTTCTGTGACCCCTGTGTGCAGCAGGGGTCCTATTGGGCTGGCTCCCCCGCCTTGTCCAAGAGGGATCGGGAGGGGTCCATAATGCCCCAGAGGAATGGAATTCCCAGAATTCACCCAAGGTCCTTCCACGCCTTCCAACCCTGCCCCAGGGTTCCTTCCCTCCAGCTCACCCCCACGTGGACCCAGTGGCTAGGGCTGGGCCAGGCCAAGGCCAGGAGCCAGGAGCTGTGTCCAGGTCTCATCCCTGTGAGTGGCAGGGGCACAAACACTTGGCACATCTTCTGCTACATTCAAGGCCATCAGCAGGCAGCTGGATGGAAGTGGAGCAGATGGGACTTCACCTGGCACCCACATGGGATGCTGGTGCCACTAAGCCACAGCAGCGGCCTCAGTCCTGTATGTATTAACTCACTCAACAGCCACAGAAATAAGCCCAGAGACAAGTGCAGAATGGGAGGAATGGTCACAGCGGCCCCATTGTATGTCGTCCCCCAAAGCTCCTGGGTCCAAGCCTCACTGCTGAGACACCTCAGTCCCGCTTTTCCCTCAGCCACTGGCAAGTTATGAGGCTGACACTGAGCAACCAGGTGCAGCGACCACGGACGTAAGGTCACGCCGAGATTCCCTTTACTTCTGCCACGTCTTTATAGCCAAGCACCCAGGCACAACTCCCTCCCAATCCCACTCTGCACACTCAGGTCCCTCTGTCCAGCTCTAAAGGCCTGGACTCCCAGACAGCTCGTCCTCGTCCAAAGCTCCCCCTGCTGGATCAGTCCTTTTCCTGCTCACTCTCAGACAGTGGACTCCTGTCCCGCTATGATGCGCCCACCTCCTAGTGCCAGGAGGAAGGATCTGATACACACATCAAACTAGACAGGGGCACAGAGGGGCACTGAGGGGCTCCATGCTATCCGTGGCCTGGTTGCTACAATCAGCACAGGCCATGGTGCTACATCAGACTTTCTTGGAGTGCTCCAACAACTGTAGAGTCGTACTTAGCTCAGTGGGGAGTTGGTGGAGCCTCCATCGGTGGGCAGCGCTCGGGGTGCCGTGGATCTCTGGAGGGCCAGACAAAGCTCCGGGGGCAACTTGTCCAACTGTGTGGTGTGGGGCAGCAGGTTCTCCTGCGCAGCCATGGAGAGGTCATTCCCAGGCAGCTGAGCTTGGGGAGCTGGGCAGAGCGGCTCAGGGCAGGCAGGAGGGCATCGAGCTGGGAGTCGGTGATCTCACAGTCCAGGAAGTCCAGGGTCCTGAGGGTGGCTGCCACGTTCTCCAGCAGCACTCGGAGGGGCTCGACACGGAGGCTGGTCAGCGGGACGCGGCTCAGGTGCAGGTGTTTCAGCTCATGGATGTCGGGCACTGGGACAAGTACACGAGATCCACTTCTGAGAGGACGCAGTTGGTTATGGACAGAGCCTCCAAGGGGGAGCTCAGGCACCAGAGGACAGATAAGTGTCAGCCATGGGATGGGTGGTCTTGGAGGATGAGGTCAGGGTGGGAGACAGCACTCTGATCCCGGCCCCAAAGCCCAAGACCCCTCTGACCTCCAAGCACACTAACACCCAGGATGCTGGTCCTGCAGGTCAGCCCCCTTTAGGCTGTGTGAGGGTCAAAGGTCCACTTCGTACACTCTCTGAAGCTCCTTTCCTAACCTGCTGAGCAGAGCACCACCTCTTTGGGGGAGGCCTGCCTAGTGGGCGACAGGAACAAAAGACAAACCCAGGCAGGATGGAGCGGCATCAACTGGGGTTACCGGCCGGAAGGGCTCACTCCCATCGCTGGTCACAGACCATCAGCCACACTTCACAGTCTTCTCTCCAGAATCATGATGTCCCACACGTTAACTGCCCCACTGGGGGGCGGGAACCAGCCACAGGCCCCGTCCTCTCACACAGGTGCTGAGTATTTTGAATCGCGTTTCTTGCGGTCCCTCCCTCAATGCCCTCTTCACTTGCCAGCGCCTCAGCCTGAATGTATTTCCTAGTGAAGACTTCACAAGCCCCCCCCCCCACCAGAGCAGACACTCCCCTCCCCAGCACAGCATCTCCTTCTGCATCCTCCACCCCCCCTTAGCCTGATGTTTCTGGGAGACCTCACTTTACCACTGAGCGCCGAACCAGATCTCCTGTTAGGTTCTGGTGTTTACGCCATTGTAACAGCACCAGCAACTGCAGGCAGGAGATACCCAAGGCGTTGCCTGTGGTCCTGGAAGTCTTAGTACAGTCAAGGCCCCGCTGAGTTTTTCACTGGCACTATCAGAGGCCCCTGGCTCCCTTCATGGCTTCCCTGATCCATCTCTTCGCGGGACGCTAGGGGCGCTCCTTGCCAGGCTGCCCGGGTCATCCTCACCTGGGAGAAACCTTCTGGGTAAGCAGCGCTTCAGTCCATCCCAGGCAGTCATTGATGTCGATAAGCAGGGGGTCTCCATCAGGGCCCCCCCCAGGGAGGCAGGCGAGGGGCAGGCCTGCACCAGGCCCTGACGATCTCAGTGTGTCTCCCAGCGAGGGCCAGGGACAGCAGCCCCTCAGCCTTCCGCAGGTCTGTTCCCCTCTGCTCTGCTCTGCTCTGCTCTGCCAACTCCAGGTCTGCACGGGGAACGGTGCTCACCTGCATCTGCAGGGAAACTCACCAGGAGAGAACAGCCGGGAGAGTCATCCTCAGGCGAGCCCAAGCTCCCCACGTTCTCCCGACTCGGAGCCCACTCGGGAGCCCGTCACTGCCCCTCTGCCAGCGGTGGGAGAGGAGTCCTTAGTCCTTGCCCATTCCCATCTCAGCTTGGTGACCCAAAGTCCTGTCTCTCCCACTTGGCCCCAGCACGAGCGTGGTAGCCACTGCCCCTCCATTTGCAATGACTGCTCCACAGACTCCGAGTCCCACACCCTGCATGCAAATCCCCAGTCTTGGAGAAAGATTTCTGATCCCCACACGAGGCCCTCGAACAAAGGGACTGGGGGTGCCACGTGTCCCAACAGAGTCTACATTCTCCTCTCCAACAAGTGACACGGCCAGGAAACTTACGCAGATGCCTCCAAATTGGTGTCACTTGTTGTCTTCTCAAAATGTTAATGAGAATCCTGAAAAGCCGTACATTACTATCACAGAGCATTTGGAGAGTCGTGAGAACACCCGGGGATGTGGATTCCCACACACATCCCTTACACGTAGGCACATGCACCACTTCGGGCTACTAGGCTGTACCCACTTGGGTCCACCAGGGTAACTCTGTCCTTATTGACTTACAAAAAGGCAACAATACTATACCTTCAAAACTATCCTTGCCGGTGCTGTGGCACAGTGGTTAAAAGCCCAGCCTGAAGCGCCAGCATCCCATATGGGAAACGGTTCGTTAGTCCCAGCCGCTCCACTTCCAATCAGGAATTCTGCTATGTCCTGGGAAAGCAGTGGAAGATGACCCAAGTGCTTGGGCCCCTTCACTTGCATGGGTGACCCCAAAGAAGCACCTGGCTCCTGGCTTCAGATTGGCACAGCTGGGCCTATTGCAGCCATTTGGGGAGTGAACCAGCAGATGGAAGACCTCTCTTTGTCTCTACCTCTCTCTGTAACTGTTTTTTCAAATAAATTTAAAAGATCTTTTTAAAAAAGCTATCCTTTAGAAATGAGAGATAAAGACTTTTTATGATAAGCAAACACTGAATCAATTCATCACCATCAGACTGGCTGTACAACAAATGCCTAAGGGAGACCGCCATTGGAAGCGAAAGATAACTTCCACCTCAAAAACATGCAAGGATAAGGCTCAACAGCACAGCACAGAAGAGAAAAACTCAAAGTCTGGCACGGAAAATCAGCAAATCACAAACTAGAGATAAAGAACAGATATAGAAAATAACCAGAAGAATGAACAGGACGACAGGAATGTTTACTTATCATTGAGCCTCGAGGTGAGTGTTTGGCACTTGCCACGCCCACATCCCACACTGGAGTGCCCAGTTCGAGTCCTGGCTCCATTTCCCATTCAACTTCCTGCTGATGCATACCCTGGCAGGCCCGAGTACGTGGGCCCCCAGCCCACTGACATGAAAGACCCTCATTCAGTTCCAGCCCCAGTTTTGGGCCTGGGCCAGTCCCAGCTGTTGAGGACATTCGGGAAGTGAACCAGTGTTTGCAGGCCTCTCCCTATCTGTTTCTGTCTCTGCTTTTCAAATAAATACAAAATAAATTACAGATGATAATCTTGAATGTAAATGGATTAAAAGCCAAAATTAAAAGATTGCTCAGATTAAAATAGACTAAAGCTGTAATAGACAAAGTTCATTATATAGTGATACAGAGTTCAATTCAACAAGAAATAAGAATGATAAATATAAATGCCTAGTAGCAGTGCTGTGATGTCGCAGGTTACGCCTCTGCCTGTGATGCCGGCATCATGTGGGTGCCAGTTTGAGTCCCAGATCTTCCTCTTCCAATCCAGCTCTCTGCTCAAGGCCTGAGAAAGCAGTGGAAGATGGGCCCAGGTGCTTGGGCCCCTGCACCTGCGTCAAAGACCCAGAAGAAGCTCCTGGCTCCTGGCTTTGGACTGGCTCAGCCCTGGCCACTGTGGCCATTTAGGGAGTGAACCAGCGGATGGCAGACCTCTCTCTCTCTGTCTCTCTCTTTCTCCATCTGTAACTCTGCTTCTCAAATAAATAAACCTTTTATATGTGCATAAATGCCAGTGTTCCCAATTATATAAAGCAAACATGAAATCTAAAAGGATGGGCTCTAAAACAATAATGTGCTAGATTTTGATAACATCACTTTCATCACTGGACAGATCATCCAAGCCCCCTCCCGTAGAGTGTTTTCCACGTCTGTTCCAAAGGTTCTGTAAATCCTGTGGGGTACAACAAAAGCAGTACTAACAGGGAACTTCAGTGGTGCCTACGTCCAAACAGCAGAAAGACTTCAAATAAGCAAGCTAACAATGCAACTCAAGGGATTATAATAACAAAGCCAAATCAAACCCGGATTTAGTAGAAGAAATAACAAAGACCAGAGTGAAGCAGCAACCAATAAAGATCAATGAAACAGAGTCGTTTCCCCTCAAAAGGTGAACAAAATTGACAACCTGTCATGTTAGCTTGACCGAGAGACCCAAGAAGAAAATCAGAGAGGAAAAGGAGACATCATCACAGTGACACCAGAGATGGAGGCTCACCCGAAATGGCCGCGCTGTGTCACCACTGAGCCCGCCTGGCCACCCGCGTGGTCCCCACAGAGGTCCGCGTCTCACCAGCTCTGCACGCGGCTGCACGGGGCCAGCGAGGACCCGGCTGCGGCTCCAGGCTCCAGGCCTCTGGGTCCCTCCTTGGGCGCCTTGGAAGTTCTTCTCGGTGTTCCTAACCCCTCCTCCCCTTTCGGGGTCCGTGTGGCAGAGGCCTCTGTCTCTTAATCATTCGTGTTCTTTAACTAACATGAGTAAAGCTGTGGTAGGAACTTCCCCAGGTCAGAAAAAGAAAAAGGGAGGCACCTGTCCTGGGAACGAAATGGGTGGTCACCTGCTGGCCCATGACTGTTCCAGCTGCAGCCCCTACAGGGAACCAGGTCAGGTTCTGCTTGTTGGTACAGAGCAACGTGTTAACCCTTGCCAGTCCGAAGGCACCTCAGGATGCGTGTAAAACAGTTTGTATCTTCAAGAACTACCTTCGCATGCCAGTCCTGTGGCCGACCTGTAACATGAGAACATCCGATCACAGGCACGCAGGTGAGACAAGGGAGACAGGCTAAAACCACATTTAAGGGAAAATCCTTCTTTGTGCTGGGCTCAGGATTTTGGATAAGAAATTCCACCTGGGCCTTATGCTGGCATAATAAAAGACCACTTCCTGTTAAGAGGCCTTGGTGTCTTGTCGGTACACGAATCCTGCTACATCCAATTAGAACCTCCCCTTTCAGCTGCCTCCTCCAATCAGAAAATGAGAGTAGATTAGATTCCTGAATCTCCGCCCCATTAATCCTGATCGGATATTTGGCTTTCTCCAGATTGAGTGGTTCGGATATGAATGCATAACAGGGAAGAAATAGGATAAAAGGCAAGAACACGTTCATAGTTTCACTCCCCACCACTGATTGAGTTTTATGAATTAGGGACCTTCGTGGTTCTGTGTGTGAGACAGGAAGGGGTTAATTGGCTCCTGACACTAGAAAACAATAAAATGGGGCCTGGTCTTGTGGCACAATGGGTCACACCTCCACCTGGGTGCCAGCATCCCATAGGTTCACAGGTTCCAGCCCCAGCTGCTCTGCTTCTGATCCGATTCCCTCCTAATGCAGCAGCAGCTGATGGCCCAAGTGCTTGGGCCCCTGCCACCCACTTGGGAGATCTGGATAGAATTCCCGGCTCCTGGCTTTGGGTTGGCCCAGCCTGGGCTGTTGCAGACATTTGGGGAGTGACAGCGGCTGGCGCGCCCTCTTGTGATCCCTCTCTGTAATAAGTCTAAAAACCTGGTTGGGAGGGAATCTCTCATTAGATCAAAATTATCAAAATGCTCTGTAGTTAAAAACAGCTTTAAGAAGACAATTGTGCCATCCTCTAAGAAAACAACGGAGCTCTCTCCATGGTCCCTTGAGTTTTACCTTAACCTCACACAGCAGGGGAAACAGCTCCTACCTTCCACTGAGGGTGTGGCTGATCATCCTGTCTTAGCTCAAGGCTTCTTTGCTGGAAATCCGATCAGAATTACAAGAAGGTGGGGAGAAGGCTGTGTATGGGGGATGGGTGTTCTTAAAGGGACCCTGTGTTTGACCCAAGACAACTGAAAAGATGTTGGTTGTTTTTTTTTTTTTTTTTTGGGGGGGGGGGGGGGGGGACTGGGGCCAAGGTGTTGAGGATTGAAGGACTTCAGTCTGGATGGCATTTAGGCATTAAAAAGGGAGATAAAGGAGCTGGTGCTGTGGTCTAGCAGGTAAATCTGCTGCCTGCAGTGCCGGCATCCCATATGGGCACCGGTTCAAGTCCTGGCTGCTCCACTTCTGATCCAGCTCCCTGCTATGGGCTGGGAAAGCAGTGGAAGATGGCCCAAGTGCTGGGGCCCCTGCACCCTCACGGGAGACCCAGAAGTTGTTCCTGGCTTCGGATCAACTCAGCTCTGGCTGTTGTGGCCATTTGGAGAGTAAACCAGTGAAAGGAAGACTCTTCTCTGTAACTCCGCCTCTCAAGTAAATAAAAACAAATAAACAAAACAAAAATCTAGGTTTTGAGGACAAGATCTAGGTCTCAGCAAGAAGGAGCCAGAAAGGGCTCCATTAAGACTGTCCCATCCTCTCTGCACTGATCTATAACCACGACCTTTGTTGCTAGGAGATAATCTGTTAAAGACATTCTCCCAGCCCTCCACCACACTGCTAGGAGCTTCTCTCCTTAAATACTCACTTCTACTCTCGCTGTCGCGTCTGGTCTCGTAACTCGTCGCCGATGCCAGGACGCGACCTCAAACTCATCTTGGAGTTTTCTCCCAACAATCTCAGCAATGTGGCTGGGAAGATTAAACCAAGAGTGTGAGCAGGGGCCGAGGTCAGAGAGTTAGAATTCACAGTCGGATGCGGGGAGTCAGATTCTCCCAAGGCCGGAGCCCCCGAGGTGGAAGCCGCGGGCGTTTGCGGAAGGGTGCTGGAGAGAAACAGACGCAGAGCAGTGCAGGGGTCCCGGCGTGACGGACACCTCTGCTTTAGAGTCAGGGCTCTTCCCACGGGAGCACGTTCCCCGGGCACCAACCAGCCCAGCTGTTTTCAGGGTCCTGTAGCATAACCATAATCCCGTTGCCCATATTTTTAAAAAGTATTTATTTATTTGAAAGGCATAGTGAGAGAGAGAGAGAAACAGAAAGTAATCTTCCATCTACTGGTTAACTCCCCACATGGCTGCAATGGCCAGGGCTGGAGCCTGGAACTCCATCCAGGTCTCCATTGGGGGTGGCAGGGGCCCAAGCACTTGGGCCATCATCCACTGCCCTCCCGGGCCACAGCGGAGAGCTGGACTGGAAGAGGAGCAACTGGGACTAGAACCCGGGGCCCATATGGGATTCCAGCGCCGCAGGCGGAGGATTAACCTAGTGAGCCACGGCGCCGGCTCCTCATCACGTTTCTAAGTTCCCTCTAAGTGCCCTCCACAAAAGCTGGGTTAAGCCAGAAGTGCTCAAGTCTGGGGCAGCCGCTCCGTGAACCTGACGCTGCAGAGTGTGGTTAGCAGCGTCTCTGTTTACCAAACACCCCCTGGGCAAAGCAATCGTACTTCCCCTCCAAGATCTCAGGTCCCCTTCACAGAACACCTGAAGTTCATTGCCGTTCTCTTCATTTTCAGGCTGCTGAAGCTTAGGCTCGCTCAGGGAGAGGAAACGGTCCACATTCACCCCACAGATGATTGTGGGACACCCCGCTCGGATGAGGGGCTCGGAGGATCCCCCACGTGGCTTAAGAACCTGAATGTCAGAAAGACCTGGCTGGCAGACTTCCCTTGAAGGAGGGCAAAATTGCAGAATTGTGCAAGTCCAAGCTTGGGACTTTTCTACAGGATCCAAGCTTCTCTTAAGAGTCCAAGATCTCCTTGGAATGTTCTAGAAACATGAAGTATAAAGCCCAACACTCGTTTCCCCCATGATGCAATGGGACATTGCTTCTTGTACTTCCACAGAGAGCCTGTTTGCCCAGGGGACACCCTGGGTCATCCGCAGAAGCCACACCAACCAGGATCTTCGCAGGACACCTTTCTTCCGGCCAGTTCACGGGGCCCAGACGCCTGGTGCATGGTCAAGGAAGCTGGCTGGGGTGGGGTGTGTGCGAGTTGCCATCGCGTCCTCATCACCTGCTCTCTCCTCATCGTCCTTATCTTTGGCCGGACCACAGCAGCCTCATCCACGGGGCATCCCGACTGCCTTCTCCAGGCCCAGAATCCCACTGGGACCCCAAAGCCTCGCCCCACCCCACCCCCGGCCCTGCTAGGGGTCTCCACGTTCTTCTGTGCTTCCGGTTTTCTGGCCCTCCCTGAGCTGACCGGGCAGCCCTGTCTGTCTGCACCCCGGGAACGTGTGTTCTCCCCTGGAATACGGAGAGTGCGTGGCCCCAATGCTGGGAGAACCTTCCAGAGTCAGCAGGGACCAAGGGATCCTCCCCTCCCCCTCAGCTATTTAGGTGTCAACAATGATGGAGGGCGACCCCTCCCGGGCACAGGAGGAAGCTTGAGGCTCCCGGGGGCAATGAGGCGCCACGCCCAGGCCAGGCGATCAGCTCTCAACCTTGGGCTGGGGGAGTTCCACCCAGCTCTCCCTACCTTGACGGGTTTTGCCCTGGGCGCTTTGGGAGGGTCTTTGTGCCATCCCCGCTTGCCTCCCGTGCTGAGCCCGGTCTGGTTCTGTGCCCTAAACAAGAGCCCTGGAGTCCTGGGTAGGGGCCTGTGGGTGTCTGGGGACTCCGCCCTGGCCTGCAGGTGCTCAGGCTGCACCCAAGCCCCATTGCAGGGGCATGGAGTCAGGCCAGTGGAGAGTCCCGGGTGGGGGAGGGGAGGGCGGAGAGCACCCTGTTTGGAGATAGACGAGGGACAGGTCCCTGGAGGCACCCAAGGCCAGGGAGAGGAACGCTCTTTGGGAATTTTGCAATTCATCCCCGACGTTCATCACCTCCTTGCTGGACAGTGGGGACTCTGCTCTTCAGGAGGGAGTGAGGGTCTGGCGTGTTGGTTCTGATCCAAGTGACCGCACATTCCCCACTGCAAGACATCGGAGGGTCACGGTGGGGGGAGTAAAACCAGGGCCCCAGACTGTCTGGCACTTTCCAGGGAACAGAAGGGGAACACAGGCGGGCTTGGTGTTGTGACGCGGTAGGTCAAGCCGCCGCCTGCGACACCAGCATGCCACAACAGGGCACCCATTCAACTCCCGGCCGCTCCTCTTCCCATCCAGCTCCCTGCTAATGCACCTGGGAAGCCACAGAAGATGGCCTGAGTGCAGGGGCCCTGCCACCCATGTGGGAGACCAGGATGGAGCTCCTGGCTCCTGGCTTCAGCCTGGCCCGGACCTGGCTGTGTGGCCATCTGGGGAGTGAACCAGCAGGTGGAAGACCTCTCTCTCTCCCTCTCTCTCTCCCTCTCTCTCTCCCTCTCTCTCTCCCTCTCTCTTTCCCTCTCCCTCTCCTTCCTTCTCTAACTCACTCTGCCTTTCAAGTAAATCGTTTTAAAAGGGAGCACAAGGATTCATTGTTGGAAAAAATCCTCTAATGCCCAGTGCCCTGCAGGGGGAGACTCTGGACACGCCCACAGGGAAGATTCTGGTACATTTGACACACACACCCCCATACCAGGACCCGGCACCCAACATCTCCCTCTTCTCCTCTCCCTGGTCCACGGGAAAACATTAGACCAATGCCTACTGTGCGCCAGCAGCCCTTGTGGGTGACGGAGGAGCACCCCCGGTGCATGTGTCCCAGAGCGGCCCCCGGATTATCTCCTGGGTGCAGGCCTCACAGCTCACTGAGGGCACGCACCAAAAGCAAGTCAGCTGGAAAACAAACTCGACAGAGGTCGATCTGACTTTGCACAGTAAGGGCGGGCAGTGAGAACAGCCGTGCGGGTGGAAGCCGCACCCAGAACTTAATAACCCGTCAGGAAAGCCGCAATTACCCTGGGACCTGTGTTTCTGGTCGAAATGTTAAGAACCACTTTAGTGCCATTTATAAATGTATAGGGAAATGAAAAACAAATTAAATAGGATTTACCCGTGCACTGTCATTTAAAACGTGGAGGACCCAAGCACTTCGTTTCGTGAACAGCAATGACCTTCCTCCACGACAAGTGCCCAAGGGCACAGGCGACTTCACCATGGCCCACTGCTTTCTCAGTGGGGATCAGAGCCTAGCTGTGATTTTTTAAAGATTGATTGATTGATTTAAGGCAGAGTTGGGTGGGGGCAAAAAGAGAGAGAGAGAGAGAGAGAGAGAGAGCAAGCGAGCTTCCACTGGCTCATTCATTCCCCAAATGGCCGCAATGGCCAGAGCTGGAAGCCAGGAGCCAGGAGCTTCATCTGCATCTCCTCGTGGGTGCAGGGGCCCAGGGGCTTGGGCCATCTTCTGTTGCTTTCCCAGGCACATTAGCAGGGAGCTGGATCAGAAGTGGAGCACTGGGACCAGAACCGGCACCCATATGGGATGCCCGCCCTGCAGGTGGCAACGCCGCAGCCCTGGCCCCAGCACCTAACTTGACCCTGTGTGCTTCCGCATCGTGAAGTCTCCAAGGTGCAGTAATACGAAGATTCTTGCTGGTGTCACTGTCACCAGGGGCTCCTCAGCCTTTGCCTCATGGCCCCCCCCTCCCCCGCCCCAACCACAGCTCTGCCACATGGCAACCTGGTCAGAAGGGCCAACGCTGGGCCCGGGGCAGGCCCTGCGCCTGGCTGACCGTACGTGGCTTCCATCCACACGAGGGGCCTCCCCTCGCTCTCCCCTTGCCCGGCAGCTCCTTCGGAAGGCGGGAGGATGCAGGGGGCCGGTGCTGGGGTGCAGCGGGTTAAGCGCTGCTCGCGATGCCGCGTCTCATGCGGGAGCTCGGCTTCCAGTCCTGGCTTCTGTGCCTCTGCTGCAGCTCCCCGCGGATGTGCCCCCGGGAAGGCAGCGCATCATAGCTCCAGTGCTCAGGAGACCCAGACACAATTCCTGGCTCCCGGCTTCAGTGTGGCCCAGCCCTGGCTATGGGGGCATTCAGGGAGTGAGCCAGCAGGTGGAAGATCTCGCTGTCTCTCTCACTCTTTCTGTCCCTTTACCTTTCAAATAAGTAAATATTAAAAGAAAGAAAAGAGATGGGGCTGGCGCTGTGGCTCACTTGGTTAATCCTCCGCCTGCGGCACCAGCATCCCATATGGGCGCCTGGTTCTAGTCCCGGTTGCTCCTCTTCCAGTCCAGCTCTCTGCTGTGGCCCGGGAGTGCAGTGGAGGATGACCCAAGTGCTTGGGCCCTGCACCCCATGGGAGACCGGGAGAAGCACCTGGCTCCTGGCTTCGGATCAGCACAGCGCCAGCCGTGGCAGCCATTTGGGGAGTGAATCAATGAAAGGAAGACCTTTCTCCCTGTCTCTTTCTCTCTCTCTCACTGTCTATAACTCTACCTGGCCAATATATAAATAAATAAACTCAGTTTCTGACTTTGAGAACCAAATGAAAGTGGAAGCTCAGAATCACCTCTGTGATTGAATGTTCACTCCTTGGCATCAGAGAAAGATGTATCTCGGCAAGAAAGGAAGGAAGGAAGGAAGGAAGGAAGGAAGGAAGGAAGGAAGGAAGGAAGGAGGGAAGGGAAGGGAAGGGAAGGGAAGGGAAGGGAAGGGAAGGGAAGGGAAGGGAAGGGAAGGGAAGGGAAGGGAAGGGAAAGGAAGGGAAGAGAAAAAGGGCTCAGCAAGCTCACTGGCCATGCAGGAGGAAAAGTCCCCACGGGCGCAGTGCCCGTCCCACTGCTCGTCTACCGCAGCTGCTTTCTCTCTCTTCTGGGATGAAACCCTGGGGCTCTCCAGTGAGGCGGACCAAGGGGTCCCAGAGGAATTTGTCCCTCTTGGGCAGGGGGGGTGGTTTCCAGGGTATGGGGGTGCAGCCAGGACCCCCACCTGTGCTTTTGGTGGCTCCTCTCCCTCCCCCTCTGGTGGGGTGCAGGGATGGACTAGTGTCCTCGCTCACCCCCATCTCCCTCTACAGAAAGGGTGCACCCGCTGAGTTCACTGTGGTGCCCTGCGTGGGAAGAGATCCCAGAGCCCCCCCACCTGGGGTCCCCAAGGGAAAGCTTCTTCCCCCAGGCACGGGTCCCCCACAACACCAGGATGGGGGGCGCACGTGTGGTGGCACCAGGGACGTCTCTGACCAGCTGGCCAGGAACTTTGGCAGCTGGGGCGGGGGGGGGGCACAGAGGTGAGGACACAGGGGTCTGCGCTCCCTGGAGGCAGGGAAGAAAACGCCGGGGGGTGGGGGGCGGCTCCCGGGCTCCTTTCCATCCTGAAGTCACAGGGGGGTTCTGTCTTCTCCCTGTCCTGGGAGTGGGGGGGACCAGCTAAGGCCCTGTGGGCAGTGGAAAGGATGTAGGGTCACCTTTTAACATCATCTCCAAAGAGGTAGGCTCCCACGTGGGTGGCAGGGGCCCAGCTACCCCAGCCACAGTTGCATTAAGGGAGCTGGAACTGGGAGTCAGAGTGCAGGGAGCCAAGCCTGCCACTCTAACATGGAACACCGGCTCTTTTTTTTTCTTTCTTTCTTTTTTTTTTTTTTTTGACAGGCAGAGTTAGACAGTGAGAGAGAGAGACAGAGAGAAAGGTCTTCCTTCCGTTGGTTCACCCCCCAAATTGCCGCCACAGACGGCGTGCTGCGCCGATCCGAAGCCAGGAGCCTCCTCCCGCTCTCCTATGCGAGTGCAGGGCCCAAGCACTTAGGCCATCCTCCACTGCACTCCTGGGGGAGTAACTGGGACAGAATCTAGCAACCCAACCGGGACTAGAACCTGGGGTACCGGCACCGCAGGCGGAGGATTAGCCTAGTGAGCCGCGGCGCCGGCTGGAACATGGGCTCTCAACCAGCGTCTTAACCGCTCGGCAATCGTGCCCCCCTGGGAGCCTCTGCAGAGCCGTCAGGTGCACGTGGGAGATTCTAGCCAGGCTCCCGCAAGGTCGCTGTAAACTTGATGCTCCAGACATGGAGGCCCAGGAGACACAGAGGGTGGCTGAGTGGAGGGGCCAGCCTGCTGGCGTAGTGGGTAAAGCCTCCGCCTGCGATGGCAGCACCGCTTATGCTGCTCCACTTCCCATCCAGCTCTCTGCTGTGCCCTGGGAAAGCAGCGGAAGATGGCCCAAGTCCTTGGATCCCTGCACTGCATGGGAGACCCAGATGGAGCTCCAGGCTCCGGCTTTGGCCTGGTCCAGCCCCAGCCATCTGGGGAGTGAACCAGCAGATGCAAGATCTCTCTCTCTCCTTCTCTCTCTCTCTGTATCGCTGACTTTCAAATAAATAAATTGTTAAAAACAAATAAAACCAGAAAGTGGCTGAATGAATTCGGACCAAAGCCAGGCTGCTCAGTCTCCCAGGCCAGTCTCCCTCTGGCCAGTCTTCCTGACCTCACGTGACCTCTCAGCCCTGAGCCTGCTTCAGGGTGGACTGGACTGCTGGTCCACAGCCCCGGCAAGGCTGCCGCCTGCAGTGGGCAGTCGCTTACCCTGGTCTCAGGCTCCTGCAGGCTCTGGGGTTCAGGGACAGCAGGTGTGAGGGAGGGTGGCTGGGTGCTCACTGGTGCAGCTCCGCGGCCCCCAGCAGACCCAGACTCCAGCACCCAGTTCAGAAGAGGATGCTCCCAGACACCT